GTGATGATCGAAGTCCCCCTCTGGGCCTAAACAGTGTGTTCAGTTACTTTTTAATTGTGTGTATGTGTGACAGAGAGAGAGAGAGAGAGAGAGAGAGAGAGAGCCTGCTCACAAAATAGATTTAAAGTGGTGAATCCAGAATGCAGAAGATAAGGTAGTAGCCTGTTGTAAAAAATAATGACCTGTAAAGACCAATTAAAGAGCAAATGTAAGAACAAGTCCATATTAATAAACCTAATGCATAAGTCGGTAAATCCTATTTTTAACTTGCAAGGTCACAAACTCTGGAAAGAGATTGCGCATATTTTCTTTCAGTGCTTTATTTCATCAGGACCATGAATGTAGGTATCCCTGCACTTAGGCTAAATTTATACATACTCTTTCTGATTTCATCTGGTTTTTGCTTTTTGGGTTTTTTTCCCACAGGTTTCTGTTTCAGTGATTCTCACACCAGCTAAAAGTTTCTCGTAGGCTCCTGGAGCAGTCTTTTGAAAGTCCACATTGCCTTTTATTTACTGTATTTAGCCTAGGAGCATTTTTTTTTTTTTGATACTCCTCAGAGCTTTGAAAGCAACTGGTTTTTCTCCCCAGAGGAAATTTGAACAGTTCACCATAGTTGGTAAAATAGCTCAATTCTTCTTTCTTCCAGAAGATGAAACCAAAGATGAAAGGCTGTGATTTTTTTTAAACCGTGTTTCAGTGAGGGCTCCCCCACCACCTAAAGATCAACCATATGAAAAACAGAAAGTTCTTCAGCACAAGGATGATTCCTCAATAAAGAGCAAACGAAAAGTGCCGGGGAATTAGAGACAGGGACATGTCCACAGTGGGATAAATACATTCTCAAGAAAAAAACAAAAAACAAAAAACAAAATAGTATCCAGCAGCTGATCAAATTCAGTAAAATGTAAAAGAATAGGCATAGAGTTATGGATACAGCTTTAAAATCTCCCCTGAGCATGAAGCATGTGGCTTAAGAACAGAGGTCCATATACTTTCTAGCTTTCAGTGATCTTTGGTGAGCAAATCTGAGCTAACCTAATTACTTCAGCAGAATTCCAAACTGAAGTATGATTACAGAGTTAAGCAGGCATTAGCAGTGAAAATTTAATTTATGTGTCAATTTGTTACATAACTACAGATTAGTTTAGGTGCAATCTTAGCGATATTTTTGTCTCTCTGGTGTATTGGGAGCTATAGTCACAAGATCTACTTTCATGAATAAAACATCACTGGGTCTATTCCAATGTCAGTTGGGGTAACTAAAGCAAAAATTGCCTCTGGGACAAAAGATGGCATTGAAGTGAAGACACCGTCACCTTGGGCTGTGGTGTCACATACAACTATAGGGCATAGAAAAGAAAAACTCTCATTAAGGTCATTTTTCAAATGTCACAGTAGCTACTCATAAGCCCAGAAACAAGAATCGATTCACCAATGTATGCTTTATATACCAACAGTTCAACCTTAAAGTCATTTCTCACACAACTAACAGAGGTGTGTGTGCAGACACACACACACACACACACACACACACACACACTTTTCAAACAGCATATCAAAACGGAAAAAAAAAGAATAATCATCCAAACTGAAAATTTAAAGTTCCAAATATGATTCAATGAAATGATAATAAGACAAAAATAGAATATAAGTATTCTAAAGGTTGGGATTGATTGGCTTCAAACATTTGTATTCAAAATTACAACAATGGGTGATTTTTTTTCCAATAGTCTTTCCTTCTTTCATTGGTTTATTCACAGATGTCTAGCATACATTTCATTTGGTTTTATTTGGTGTAATGAATATTTACGTATCTTGCATTAAACAAGGAAATTGTTTTTCTACGCGAAACCAACTACATTCTGTTAGTCACATCATACTTACATAACCAATTAAACAAAATTCAAGGATTTAACAAATTAATTCCCCCAATATCTAAATGTCGATTACAAACTCATTTAATTCAATTCTTCTTGGATATCTGTTGTCGGTTGAACTGTGTCCCCCGAAAAGATATGCAGAAGAACTAAACCTAGCACTTAACCTTTGCCGATGTAAACCAGTTAAAATGAGGTCATACGTGATCAGGTGAGTGGCAATCCAATTACCAGTGTCTTTATAAGGGGAGGGAGATTTGGAGAAACACAAGCACACACAGAGGGAAGAAGTCATGTGAAGCCAGGGGCAGAAACTGGAGTGATGCAGCTATAAGCCAAGGAGTGTAGCAACCACTTGAAGCTGGGAGCAGCAAAGAAGGTTTCCTTTCTACAGCCTTCCCAGGAAGCCAGCATGGCCCTGCTGGCACTTGGATTTCAGACTTTTCGTCTCCAAAACTGTAAGAAAATAAAGTTCTCTTATTTTAAGTTACACAGTGTGCAGGAATTTGTTAAGGCAGCCCTAGGAAACAAATACACATTGTTTCCAAAGAGAAATAGGAATTAATTAGTATCCCTGTTTCCCTTTATGTAGTTTCTTTTACTCTGATGACTTCAAGATTGACTCTTCATCTTTGGTTTCCAGAAGCTTAGGAGTGAAGTATCTAAGTTTGATTTGTTTAGTATTCATCCTGATCAATTTGCTTTAAAATTCGTGGATTGGTGGCTTGTTGTCTTTAATTTTGGAAAAATTTTGGCCATTATTTCTTTAATATTTTTGAAATCTAATATTCTAATATCCCTGTCTTCTCTTTCTGTTTGTTTCTCTTTTTCTTATTGTGTTTCAGTTTGATTAATTTCTATTGCTCTATCTTCAAATTTACTTATTCCCCCTTCAGTGCTATCCAATTGGCAGAATAACCCATCAAAGAGATTCATCTTGGATACCATGTATTTTGTTTCTAGCATTTTTATGTGACTGTTATCTGTGTGCTGAAATTCTCCAGGGTCTGTGCATTTTGTCTACTTTTCTACTAGATCCCTTAACATTTCAGTTGTTAAAGTTACCATCTGATAGTTTTAATATCTCCGAGTCTGATTTTTTGTATCTGTGTATGTGTGTGTGTTCTAATCTTTTATCCAGTACCAAATTTTATGTGTAGAATATCGGTAGAGACTGAGGCAAATAGTATTTATGCCTAGGAAAAGGCATGAGTGTATGTCTTTCAGTCACCTTGAGGTTTATGCTTGTGCATGTATGTGCATGTATGCATGCATGCATGTGTGTAGGGGTGGGGATGGATGGGGAGGGGAGTTTGAGTCCGTCTATTCAGGAATGAGAGGGGTTTCAATTTCTCATTGCCATCATTGCCTTCAGTGCATCACACACTTCATAGTCCTCTTGCAGGGGGCCGCGGTTGCCACCTACTTAAATTAGGACCCAGTGTGCTGGAGGGTTTTTCTCAGGGTTCCTTTTCTCTCTGAGCTTTCAGAAGTTCCTGCATGCTTGCAGAACACAGGGTCTCTCTCCGTGCTCTTGCCTCTTTCCTCAATGACAGACCACATATTGTGATCTGGAGCTAGCCTTGCAGTGGAAACAGGGTAATTCTTGATTTTCCCGGTCTACCTTATGCACCCGGGTCTTGGATGTATGTTTTTAAAAATTGTTCTTGCTCCTCCTCTCCATGGCAGCCAAATTCTTTCTTATATCTATGGTAGGTATGGGGAAAGAGAAACTTTTCTGTCCCTTCCTCAGAGGTAGCAGAATTCTGCTTAGTATTCCTTGCAGGATCTCGGTCCTATGAGGGTTTCTTGCCTTCTAGCAATTTTTACTTCTCCTCCTTGCACAAAAGCAGTGGATCTTTCCTTCGGCCATGGGAACAGGAGTGTTTCATGTCTTTTCCTACAAGAGAAGGGTCTAGAGGAGCAAGCAGTGTTTCTTGTCTCCTCCACTGGCAGCCAATCACCTCCTGTATGCCTGTGCTACCAAAGGAGGTCTCTTCTGCCTTATCCCAATCTTGAGCACTGGGTGGAAGCCCTTGATAAGAGCTTGCAAGTAGATACTAACTCCCCTTGTGCCTGCCGCTCCCAGCTACACCAAAGGGAGACTCTAGCCCACTCTTGGCCTTTAGGAATTTCTTAAAATTTGAGCTGATTGCTTCTTACTGGTTTCTGTGTGGTCCCTTCTTCCTACTGCGCCCTTGAAAAGGTAAAGCAGGTCATGTGTCCATATTCCCTCGGAATGGTGCCACTCTTTGGAATTTCATTCATTTTGTTGCCATGGGATGGACCTCACTAATCTGGTAATCTAAAAATAAAATAGGCATTATTTTGTAAGTGATCCAGCTTTTTCTTATGTCAGATCAGGAGCTCCATTCTCTTCAGGTTTTCTGTATCCTTAGGGGAAGCAGAACTCAGAGAGTATTTCACAACTATAGCATTCTGATGCACATTCTTGGTTAAAAACCACTTTTAATGCAATACTTGGTTATTGAAATAGAGACATTAAAAATAGCTTAACATCCCTCAAAAATATATAAAAAGTCTATGGGGAAATATTAGAAAGTATAATAATTCTCTGTAGGATAGATGACAGGCTTCCTTAGAAATTCTTTCTAGAAAAGGTAAAATTTAAATTTGGTCTCAAAGGACTTAAAGAGGTTATTAGGCAGAATAATTTTGATGCACAACCATGCTTAAGAATTATTGAACTATATTCATGAATAAAGTGCATAAAGAGTTGTTATAAAGAGAGTGTGACACAGTTATTTATAACATCAAAAATCTGGAAAATACTCAAATGTCTGACAATGTAAGAGGCTCTTTAAATAAATTATAACACATTTATAAAATGGAATGCCATGTAGTTCTATGTGAAAAAAAGTGATTGATTTTTAAGTTTGAAAAAATACTTTATAAAAATACATACAAGAAAATTTAATTTATGTATATATGTATGTATACGCAGGCACACACATATGTAAAGCAAGAGAGATGCAAAATTGAATTTTTTCTGTTATTGATATTTTAACCTTTTTAATTTAAATTTTTCTTTATTGATTGCTCATATTTTAAAAATGTTTCTATTTGTCTTTAGTCTTGATACCTAGAAAATAAAAGGCATTAAAATAGGTGAGATTAGAATAAAATAGAGAAAAAGTATAGCCAGAGATAAGATTACTGTGTGCGTGCGCACACACACACACACACACACACACACATGGTGCTTTGAGTTCCATACCTAATGCTAAAAATGATTTTAGCTCTAAGCTAAATTTGGCTCAAAATCTACACACTTTGTTCTGAGCTTTCCAGCAATCACTGAAGAGATGTAATCATGTTGTACAATTCACAGTGTTCAGAAGACAGAAAAAAAATAGACTTCCAAGAAGAAACATACTTATTCTTGGTATGAGGATTGGAGAAAAATTTCTGGGTCCTTATGAACAGAAGACAACAGCTAATGAAGTGTGCCGCATCCTCAACATCACTCTGGTGGTAAAGAAAGACATGATTGGCCGGGCGCGGTGGCTCAAGCCTGTAATCCCAGCACTTTGGGAGGCCGAGACGGGCGGATCACGAGGTCAGGAGATCGAGAACATCCTGGCTAACACGATGAAACCCCATCTCTACTAAAAAAAATACAAAAAATTAGCCGGGCGAGGTGGCGGGCACCTGTGGTCCCAGCTACTTGGGAGGCTGAGGCAGGAGAATGGCGTGAACCCGGGAGGCGGAGCTTGCAGTGAGCTGAGATCCGGTCACTGCACTCCAGCCTGGGCCACAGAGCGAGACTCCGTCTCAAAAAAAAAAAAAAAAAGAAAGAAAGACATGATTTGCATAACTCTATTTCTTTGGAAGTTATTTGCATGAGAAAAACGTGTCATGGAGATGGGGATAGCAGTTTCAGGTGGATAACATAAAATGGCCCAGATGAGTTCTGAGTTCCTTTCTGTTCTGGCTTACACAACAGGTTGAGTTTTAAAGCATAAAGGAGTAGACATATCTGCCTGGTATTTGTCCATCCACAGTGTTTCTCTTGCTTCAGCTTTGGCAAAACACTGATGACAAGTTTTAGATCCTATTCTGATATAAGAACCAAAAATGCAGCTATCCCATACTGACCTCTCCTGAGTGGCGAGGAATGTGATGCAAACAGATGCTTAATCAGAAGTCACTCTGATCCTACAAGCAGGAATCCTAGGAACCCGAAAACAGAGTCAAAGTCATCACCCAGAACTCATTCCAGCTGCACTTTAACAAGCAAACCAGTGACCAATCAAGACCTCAACTCTCATCACTGTAGCGCTGTGGCAACAACTTAACTCCAGAAAAGTCACTGTGATGCAGGACAGGCAAGCCCCCAAACTGGGGCTTAGCTAGGGAGGGTTCTTGGCTTTGCCCAGGAAAGAATTCAAGGGTAAGTCGGTGGTGTTAAACAGATGGGCTAAACAGCAATTTTTATTGAAGCAGCAGCGTACAGCAGCAGAGGTACTGCTCCTTACAACCAGGACTACCCTATAGGCAGTGTGCCCAGAAAAGCAGCTCAGAGGCACTTCAGCAGTCATGTTTATACTCACTTTTATTTACATGCAAATTAAGAGGTGGTTTACGCAGAAATTTCTAGGGAAAGGGTGGTAACTTCTGGATTGTCATGTTGTTGCCATGGAAAGGGACAGTAACTTCCAAGTGTTGCCATGGCAATGGTAAACTGACATGGCACCCTGGTGGGTGTGTCCATGGAAAGCTGCTTTAGCCTTGGCCCTGTGTAAACTAGTTTTCCATTTGGTTCCGTGTGAAAGCCCCACCTCCAGTGTTGAGTCTGCTCTTTTACCTCAACTGATGACGACCTTATATTATTAAAAACAGTAGCAACAACAATAAAACAAACGAAAGCGAAACTCGTTAACAACCAGAGCCTGTCAAACAGTAGGCAATGAAATTTAAGGTGTCCTTCTGAATTAAAATGTTTAAAAAATTAATTCAAAGGTAGAGGAAAGCTTTCATTGTTTAAGACAGTTGGGCGTGCAAGTTGGATAAGTAAGGTGGAACACCCAAAATGATGAAGCTTTATTTAGAATATTTGATTGTATTTTATTTTTTCTTGTTAGCAATTAAATAACATGGCTAGTTTTCAACTAAATCTGTTCTATTTCATGACAATAAAGCCAGGCCATCTGCATATATAACTGTGCTCTCTTTCTGTTTGCTCTAGTGAAGAAGTCATCATGAGCTACAATGAAAATGATACAGAGTAATTAAGATAAGTGAAAAATGACGTCCATGTTTTATCCCTCTGGAAAAATTATCTCAACTCTGAAAGGATTGTTTCTACTGAGCCTGAACTTCAAAACGGGTTCTGTATAAACGTTAATAAATACAGTTCTATGAGTTCTTGGATTTTAGCCTTGAGGTTATTATAGTCTCAGAAAAAGGCTGAAGAAAGGTCATTTAGAACAACCACATGTTATATTTCACTCTAACAAGGTGATAAAGAATATAACTGAAAAGCTACCAATGAAATGAAGATTATGAGAAAGTGGGAATTACCTTGAACCTACTCTCATATATTCTTGGTGTTGGGAACTGTTACAAAAATGTAAGGAAGCATCATAAATCTAGAAGAAGGTTCAACTTTAAGACAGAAGCCTGAATGTGCCAGTGAGGTTCACCTCTTAGGATTGTCAGATAAACAATAAGATTCTTATTTTAATTTTTTTCAATATTAGCATACCCCAAATACTTCGTGGGACATACTTATACTTACAAAATATTGTTCTGTATCTGAAATTAAAATATAACTGGGTGTCCTCTATTTACCTGGTAAATAGGGCAACCCTATCCTCTCTCTTTTGAGACTCACTTAAAATTTCAGAAAAATAGGAAAACAACAAGTAAATCCACAGTCGCAGAGTGTGTGTTAGGGGATTGGTGAAGGCATCAGCAGAGGGAGAAAGTTAAACAAAGTGGTCTGAAAGAAAGCAGGTGGAATAATGTTGGCAAAGCAAAATGTAGAAAGTTGACTGCCCAGAATTCCTGAGATGGGATTGCAATGGAGGCAGCTGGCCTGCCCGGCAGCAGCCTGGAAAGGTCTGGTCGTAGGGAGGATGAACGGAATTGGAAGAAAAGCCGTACCCCCGAAGAGTTGTTCTCCTACGTGTCCCAGCATCACATGCAGAACTGCAGACAGCTAAGCTTTTACACCTCCTGCCAATATAATAAAAATAACCATAGTAACATACAGCTTTTCCCAAAGCAATGAAAAGAAGCATTTGGCAGAAATAGGCAGATACGATAGACTTCTTGCCCTCCACTTGGGACTGGTTTCTCAACATCTCACCCTAAAGCAAAGCCTTCCCAGCATGTATGAAGAGCTCAAAAATATTTGACAATAATAACAACAAAGATACTTAATACTAGGGCAGTAAGTCACACCAAGCGCAAACAATGCTACATGAATTTTGCCAGGTAGCAGCTCAACAAAAGGAAATGGAGATTGTTCAGACTTGCTTCTCCAGGACAGAAAATCAAGCAGGGATTCGAGATAGAGGCTAAATTGAAGAATGTGTGTGCCTCTGGCTGGAATAACTTCAGTGATTTATCTCTTGAAAAATTAAAGTTTTGGACAATGAGTCTGAGAAGTGGGAGGAGCCCTAATATATATTGTAACTGTCTTTCTTTTTTTTTTTTTGAGACGGAGTCTCGCTCTATCGCCCAGGCTGGAGCACAGTGGTCGGATCTCAGCCGCCCACCACCTCGCCCAGCTAGTTTTTTGTATTTTTTAGTAGAGACGGGGTTTCACCGGGTTAGCCAGGATGGTCTCGATCTCCTGACCTCGTGATCTGCCCGTCTCGGCCTCCCAAAGTGCTGGAATGTAACTTTTTATTGTGAGCCTCCACAGCAAAGGATTACTGCCTTTTAAGAGAAGACCCCTTTTACCACTTACGGCACATTAGAGGTGGGCTTCTGTATGATTAAAAGCCTTTATCAAAAATATCCCCATTGGTTAACTGAATCTGTCTGTCAAGTGTATTCATAATTAATTGACACTAATGAAAAGCCTAGAGGTGCCAGTGGCCCTTTACAAGTTATTAAGAATGCATTGTATTGAGAGGCCGAGGCAGGTGGATCACAAGGTCAGGAGTTCGAGACCAGCCTGGCCAAGATGGCGAAACCCCAACTCTATTAAAACCACAAAAATTAGCTGTGTGTGGTGGCAGGTGCCTGTAATCCCAGCTACTTGGGAGGCTGAGGCTGGAGAATTGCTTGCAGCTGGGCGGCAGAGGTTGCAGTGAGCCGAGATCACGCCACTGCACTCCAGCCTGGGCAACAAAGTGAAATTCCATCCAAAAAAAAAAAAAAAATTATTGTAATTAAATTAAGGCTTTTCCAGCAGCTTGTTTTTGCATAAATATTTGAAAATATGACTTCAGTAACTAAAGATATTTAAAGAAAATATGGAAGGCAGAAAGAAAAAAGAGTAGCTTTCTGAACTATACACATACACACACAAACACACACACACACACATATATATATATATCACTTAGGTGAGATTTTTATCTCATTTTTACATACAATTTTTTGTGCTCTGCAACCTATATGGGACCGCACTGAAAGAAGCAGATTTTCTCCGGAAAGATAAATGGCAAGTTTCTGGAGAAATGAATGTACAAGTGTTATGCAGAATTGTTTGCTCCTTTAGAAATTGTTCATGTGAAAAATTACACTGCAAGCTACAGAAAGCCTATAGAGGCTAGGGAGAAAAACCGGTGACTGACAGACCAGTCTGATGTCTTTATTAGGAAAAGACATTCAAATAGCCAATGAAAAGTGCACAACTGAGGTCTCTGAGAAGAAAATTCACACTTATTCAAAAGGAGCAATGTTAGTTTCAGTCTAAAACCTGAAGACATTGTTGAGTTCCAGAGAATGGATATTCTAGGTGCTAATCAACTTTTCTTGGCCTTGATGGAAAAAATCATCCCTGGTTCTTTAGGCAAAACTGTCTTGCCTTATTAATTAAAGCAGCTTAATTAAATGTATACATGAGATAATAAAACTCTCCCATCCAGAATGGACTATAGATGCAAGAAGTGTGAAAATGAGTAATGTTAGTAGAAAGCTTGTTGTTGAAACCAAGCAAGGAGTATATTTCTTTACTAATTTGAAGAAGAATTAGAGGTTTTGTTTGTTAGGCTTTTGTTGTTTTTCAATCTATTTTAATTAAAAGGCACTGCAGAAGCAAAGGTATATTCTGATGAACTGAAGTCTCAGACTCCACATACCACTTTTCTTTATTATTTTGTCTATTCAGGGGCAGATGTTCCATATTTGTGGGAAGATCTAAACATTAAGTGGTAGACTATGTTTTCAAAGATTGACATCTGGTTTGTTAAAACCATTGAACCAAATGCAGTATTCAAAACCAGAAGTCAGTTTAGGATGGTTTTCTTTGTTAAAGTAATAGTAGGGCAGGCTCTAGCTTTTCCACACAGAGAAATGTGTTCGTTAATTTTAAAAAATATTCCTTGTACTTTCTCTCTCCCTCCATTTGCAGTTCCTCCCTTTAACAGATGGAGACTGTTTCTCTGCCTTCAGTTGACCTTTGGACTTATTTTGGCCAATAGAATGCAATGAAAGTAACCATGTGCTGAATCTAAGGCAGACGTCAGTGGCTGTGTGAGTTTCCATGATCTCTCAGAACTCCATCACTGTCCCGTGAACAAACCCAGGTTAGCCTATGGGAGTGAGACACCATATGAAGAGATCCCAGTTATCACAGCTGAGGCCATCCTAGACTTGTTTGCAGCCAGTTGATTCTGTAGGATGTAAGAAGGACCAGCCAAGGTCATCAGAGCCACATTTGCCACACCCACAGCTAACTGCAGCTATGTACCTGAGCCCAGCTGTGACAACTGCTTAGCTAATCTGGAGACTCATAAGCAATAAAGGATACTTTTGGATCTATAATCCACTGAAATTTGATTGGCTTGTTACACAGCAATAGCTAACTGATACAGGACAGCAGTGGTAGATTTAGAGATCAAACAATGAAAAATGAGATGTCTTTTGTTTTCTTTAAATGTATGTAGCCAAATACAGCAAAAGTTTTCCAAACTATTAAAAAAATATGAAAAGTCAGCCCTGAGAGTCAGACAGACCAGAGAGAGAAGTTCAGCTACAAAGTTCAGGTGCAAAAATGCATCTCTTAAGAGGAATAAAGAGCGTCTACTATAACTCTGGTGGTTATATCTTGGAGGCTAAAAGAGCAAGGTAAACGTGCAATGGCAAAGGCAGAGTCCTCTTTGGAGGACAGGACAGCGATTCAGCAGAGAAGTAAAAAAAGAAAAAGAAGTTGGCTTAGCTTTTGGCTCTAAAAACAAAATCTCCTGTAATACCTTCATTTTTATCAATATACTTCTATTTTAAGCTGCATACAAAGAAGAAAGATTTTGGCTTCTGTTACTCCAACTTCCTTTTTTCTAGGGTCTTCAAACATGTTTCTATTCAGTTATCTGTGTCCCTACACAGGGCATAGGTTTTCTAATTTCTATATGAAAAGCTGCTTTTCAGAAGAGGGTACCCAGCCTGGGCAACACAGAGAGACCACGTCTCTACAAAAAAATCTAAAAATTAGCTAGGCATGGTAATGCACACCTGTAGTCCCAGCTGCTTGAGACACTGAGGCAAGAGGATCACTTCATCTTAGGAGTTCAAAGCTGCAATGAGCTATGACCTTTTTTCCTAGATAATTACTTCTGAAGAGAAAGCAAAATCAAGCCCTACATGAAATCATTCAGCAAGGAGATGGCAGATACATGATATTTTCTCGAGAAATAAAATAGAAGGAGGTATGGAGGCTGGGACCCATTCTAATTCTATGCAAGTCTAGGCTCTGCATGGCAGAGGGGCATGTAAATGTTGCCCTCCAGTACAGTGGATATAGGACTAATTGTCCTGTACTGAGGCTGGTGAAACAACAAGGCCTTGAGCCATGGGTTTCTCATTGATCTTTTGAAGGGCTTACTTTATTTTTACCAGCATTTCCTAAATGTATCTTAACTCCCTGCCTTGAGGCTCAATGGGATTATTCCTCCCAGAACAAAAAATATATTGAAAGATTAAGAGTGCAACTTAAGAATTCAGTGGCATTCAACACTGATAGCACTCCTCTGGAAAACAACAGTATAGCCTTTACCTCCTTACTGGAAGACTGCCTGTGACTTCTTGGAAATGAATGAATGGTTCTTTCTACCATCATTTTTCCCAGAAGGGTAAGAACACAGATATCTTATTTCCCTGGTTCTTTTATTAAAGCAACGTTGGATATTATTTATACAACTTAAGACTTGATTACCCTTAACACTGGAGTCGCTATTTGTACCAAAATTCATCTT